CTCTCTCTCTCTCTCTTCTTTCTCTCTCTAGGGTTTTGGTCTTGACGCAAAGATCTACCAAACCCACATTCATATTCATGGCTTTCTCCTCTCTTCTCCGATCGACCAACCCACCACCTGTTCTTGAAGCATCCCGTCAATCACTCTCTGCCCCTTCATTTTCTAGCCGATCACAGGTCCCTGTTGTTTGTTTGAATTTTTTTTTTCGTGATGATTTATGCTCCAGTTTTCACTTTCTTCTTTTGCATCGTCTTTAATCCTTTATCTTTCTTCAGGTGTCATCGGTGAAGCTTCAGTCCAACTTATTTGGTGCTGCCGTTTCCGGAGAATCTTCGTCTTTTACAGTTGAGTTTTGTTTCTGTTCTCTGCTTTTCATTTATTACGATGATCATATGATCAATTGTTCCCCTTTTTCTATTCAAAAATTGGTTCCATTGTTTATCTAATCACACAGGATATCTCACGCACGATGCATCAATCCAATCAAAGCCACAGCCACCGAGACGCCTCCAACTGTTCCAAGTAAGAACATGTATAAACGTTAATTGCATGCCTTCTATCTGTTCGATGTAATGTTTTTCTGACAAATTCCATGTAATTGAATTTTCTATAGAGTCCAGTACCAGTGGCAAGACCAAGGTCGGAATTAATGGTATGATTTCTGAATTTATTGCTGTTTGTTTATATCATCTGCCAATCTGTATGCTAATTTTACCCATATGGTAGTACAAATTTTAAACTGTTTTGTTAACTTGAAACTTGATCAAAAAAAATTGCAGGTTTTGGAAGAATTGGAAGGTTGGTATTGAGAATAGCAACGTTTAGAGATGACATTGAGGTTGTTGCAGTCAACGACCCTTTTATTGATGCCAAATACATGGTAAGGATGAGCTTCATTGTAACTATGAGTCATGATTAGTCTAACATTTTGGCCTTTTTAAGTCCATGATCATCCACAATGCATAGTTTAATGGAAGAGTTGAAAGAGGTCATTTGAGTCCTTGATAATTCATAAATATTGATTCTTAATTGCCATTTTCAGGCTTACATGTTGAAGTATGATTCTACTCATGGTCTTTTTCAAGGAACCATCAATGTTGTTGATGAATCCACTTTGGAAATCAATGGGAAGCAAATAAAAGTAACCAGCCAAAGGTATTTATTTATTTATTTATTCCTTTTGTTTCATGTGAAATGACCTTTTGATCCTTAAGTCCTTAAACATCAATTATATATGCTCAGAGACCCTGCAACGATTCCATGGGGTGATTTTGGAGCTGACTATGTTGTAGAATCTTCTGGTGTTTTTACAACACTTGATACTGCTTCAGCACACAAGAAGGTAAACCATCGGGTTTGGTTCACTCTTCTAAAAGGCGTTTATACCCCTGGTCTGATTTGATTTTTTTGGTGACAATGACTCAATATGCAGGGTGGTGCCAAGAAGGTGGTGATCTCAGCTCCATCAGCTGATGCCCCTATGTTTGTTGTAGGGGTAAATGAGTCCACATACAAGCCAAATATGGATATTGTATCTAATGCAAGCTGCACCACTAACTGCTTGGCTCCTTTGGCTAAGGTACTGGACTACTATTCTTTTGAGTTCTTCTCATTCGTCTTTTTTTTTTTTTTTGTCAATTTATAAATCAAATTTATTATTTATTATTAATCAACATTCTTTGCTAAAAGGCTACTCTTTTTTATTTTTATATATAGGTAGTTCATGAGGAGTTTGGTATTGTTGAAGGTTTGATGACAACTGTACATGCAACTACAGGTCTTGACATTTATTTAAACCCTCATTTTTATTCTCTTTATATATATATATATATATATAATATATATATATATATATATATATATATAATTTTCTTTAAATTTATTAAATTGTTGTGATATTATTTTGTTTTCAGCTACACAAAAACCGTTGATGGACCTTCAATGAAGGATTGGCGTGGAGGACGTGGTGCTGCACAAAACATCATCCCCAGTTCCACTGGTGCTGCCAAGGTATATATATTATTTTTATATAAAATGAAATGTAATTTTTTATATTCTTTTTTAAAAATCTTTTTATATATTTTAATAAAAAAAAAAAAAGGCTGTGGGGAAGGTGTTGCCAGAGCTAAATGGAAAGCTTACCGGATGGCTTTAGGGTTCCAACAGCAAATGTTTCTGGTTGTGGATTTAACTGGTCGACTTGAGAAGAAAGCTTCTTATGAAGATGTGAAAGCTGCTATAAAGTATGGTGTTTTTTTTTTTTTTTTTGAGACGTGAAATGTCTTTTTTATTACCCTTGTTAAGTTGATTGCTGTTATTTGTAAATGATGTTGTTTGGTGATTGGAAAATTGAAGGTATGCCTCTGAGGGTCCCATGCAAGGAATTCTTGGGTACACTGATGAAGACGTTTGTGTCCAATGATTTCGTTGGTTGATTCCAGGTCTTTTATTTTTTTTTTAAATATTTAATTTCATATTTGAAATTGTTAGCAATCTCTCATTTTTACTTTAAAAAAAATATATTTTGTAGGTCAAGTATTTTTGATGCGAAAGCTGGGATAGGGCTAAGCACGTCATTTGTGAAGTTGGTGTCATGGTATGACAACGAATGGGGTTACAGGTAACATAAAACACATCCCGTCTCTTTTTCACTATTTGTTTGTTACATAACAGGATATGACATGATAGAACATGTTGTACTGTGTTTGACTTTGACTGATTAGGGTTCATCTGATTGTGTGCAGTAACCGGGTCTTGGACCTGATAGAGCATATGGCGTTGGTGGCAGCCGTTTCCACCTGAGTTTGTTTCAAGGGCAAATATGTCCTTTCCTTGCATTTTTTTTCCCGTGAAAAAGCTAGTGTAGAATTGAACGGATGACTTGATGTTTGAAATAAAGAAATTTATCTACTTCATACTTGCCATCATATGACATGATTCGTTTTGCATGGTGTGCTTTTTGATGTTATTTTACTTAATTTGCACAAAATAATGATTAGAACGATTTTAAGTTTAGTGTTTGGGTAAAAATGATTTGTCATTTTGATTGTCTGGTTGTTTGGGGGTCTAGGGCCAAATGCAAGAATAGAAGACTGAATATACAATGAAAGGAAAAATGCAATATTAACCCTCCTTTTAACCTTAAATTTAGGATTTTATAAAGGACTTATATATTTATATTCTTATTACTAAGAATAATGATTGTTGGAATTATAGATGGTTATCTTTTAAAAAGCATATTGTCAAATCGATAAAACCATATACTTTTGTTGTATATTTAAAAAAACTATTAAAAATAAGAAATATATTAAATTATGATTATGTGTTCTTTTGTTGTATACTTAAAAAAACTATTAAAAATAAGAAATATATTAAATTATGATTATGTGTTGATTATGAATTTGAAATTGTTTATTTGAAGTGTTTATTGATTTAGTGCGGTTTAATATCGGTAATAATATGCAAGAAAATATTGTTTTAAGAGTCTTGTTAAGATTGAGACCATGATTGTATGATCTTACAACTAAAAAACAATCTAATAAGATCAGTTTTGGAGTAAGATAGAACTTAAGAACTTAAGATCATATAATCTTACAGGTAAAAAAAAATCTAATAAAATTAGTTTTGGAGTATGATAGAACTTAAGATTGTATATAGATCCGATCTCATTAGTTCTTTTAATTTTGGTGTTTGGTGTCTAAAACACTAAAACCGTAAAATCTAAAGTGTATTTAACCTTAGAAAATGATCTCACATGAGGGGATGGAATATCTTAGTTGATAATTTTGCCATGAGACTTTGAGGTTGACATGTTCCTAATCATGGATGTGAAAGGAATTGGAGTGTTTTTGAGTTGACAACTTATAAGTTACAACACTTCCATTTCAATCATAATTTAAATATATTGTTACCCAATTTCTCAATTATTTCTTTATTATGTTGTTTAGGTAGAGGTTATAAGAGAAAATCGATTACAATTACAAAAATTAACGATTTTGTGTATATGATATACAATAACTTGAAGATAACTGGAACCTAAGGAAAAAAAAAAAGCTTGGTAATGATGTAACTAGACTTAAAATTGAATTTTGATGATGTTAATTCCGATAATGAATGACTTTACGACGATAAATTTTCTCATGAAATGTTGATTAACTTTTTTAATGGGTCTTCAAGTCGGTCTCAAGCACACGATACTGATTGAGATGATGACTTCTTTGAAAAAGCCACAAGAGAAGTCAAAGCTGAAATAAGTATCAAGGTTGACAAGGAGGGAGGCTCGGACGTAGTGATTGGGCAAAAGAGGGAAGAATGAGGATGAGTATTCTGATGGAGGTGGAGAGTTGAAGAGAGAGAAGGGAAAAAGACCTTGATATAGGGAAAAAATAGGAACACTGCCTCACCCACTTCGGTACCCACAATACCTATTCTTCAATCGGAACAATTATGTGCATCCTAAGGTATCAATCGCATGACTCATTATTCTATTACTTTATGATTTTACGGTTTTTGACAAAAATAGTTTTTTGTTTATGTGTCATGTTTTGTTTTCTTTGCAGATAATAGAAGAGATTTTGGAAAAAATGATTTGAATTTAGAATATGAAAATGATGTCCACGTACCAATTCCAATATTAAGTTAAATTAGGTAATTAAATCTCGACTTTATGTATTATCTTCTAAGCTTTTTACTAGTGTTTTAAACATTTTATCATTTTTCAACAACACAACAAATATGCCGTTTCATGTTTTAAACTCATAACTATTTTATTTTGGTTGGATCTTTACCATCCCAATCATATCATACTTCATTTTGACAAATTTGGTTATAACTCATATATTAGTATTTCAATTTTAAATAATTCAACATTATTTAGAAATGTTTTTTTTATTAAGGGGTTTTTACATGAAAGTCCTTGACTGTGTCAAAATTTATCGTTTTGAGTCTATGACGATTTCTTATGCATTAATGCCCAAAGTTTGCTAAGTTTTTTCTTTATTTTTCCCTTGTTACATGTAATAATGAGTTTCCAGGTTACCATGAAATCGAATTTTCATAAAAAAAAAAAAACATTTATATTTTTACCTTAAGTTTGTTTGTTTTTTTTTGTTATATATATATATATAATATAATATATATTATATATATAGATATATATATATATATATATATATATAGACAACATTTCATAGAAGTTTAAATATGTATTTATGTTTCTAGAAATATAAATATACTTCTAAAAACATAAAAATATGTATTTAGAAGCATAAATATATATTTTTACATTTTTAAGAAGTATAATTTTTTTAGAAGTATAAATATGTATTAATATTTCTTTAGAAATAGAAATTGTATTTTTATGTTTTTAGAGGTATTGAGATATAAATATGTATTTTTGTCTTTTTAGAAGTATAAAATATAAATATGTATCTATACTTAAAAATACGTATTTATATTTTATAAAAGCATATTTATACGATATTTTATTAAACTTTGTTTCGTGTATAAAATATGTTTTTCTACATTAATACGTATAATATAAAAAAACATGCCTAGGATAAAAAAACATTAAAGATTTGTAAACTTAAGGTTCTTTTTTTTATAAATTTGGTTTGATAATAACTTGAAAAACCTGATATTATAAGTAAAAAAAAAAACTTTACACATTAACAAACAAAAATTGTAAAATAAACCTACAAAATTTTACACATATAAAAACTTTTATGTCAAAACCATTTTATTAATTTGTTAAATGACCAATGTTTTCCAAGTCACAAAAATCGTTTATCTGATTATAAAAATTTATAACAACAAAAACACATTCTAGAATTGTCGGACTTATTTTGTTAAAATTAATTGTATTACCAAATATTTTATAATAAACACTGCAAAATGCAAACACCCATTTTCTTGTTGGACATGGAGTGTTCGTCTTAAACAGTGAGGTCTTCCATCGCCAGCCGCCTGCCCTTTCCACCATTTAAATACTCCCAAAAGGGCTGCTCTTTCAACCCAAAAGCCACATTTTTTTTATTTCTCTCGCTAGGGTTTTTCTCCTTTTAAGCATACCCCTTTGAAGAACACAACAGAGAGATCTTCTTCTACCAACCCACATTCATGGCTTTCTCATCTCTTCTCAGATCTACAACCCCATCTCCAGTTCTTCAAGCCTCCAATCATCAATCGCTTTCCACCCCTACAAGATCGCAGGTTGCATTTCTTTCCTAAACTTTCTTCTCACCACCTTTCAAATTCTTGTCTCGTGGGATTTTTCCTTTTTCCCTTCTTCTTCTTTATCATCATTTCTCCTTCTGCAGGTATCATCTTTAAAATTTCAATCCACTGTTTTTGGTGCTGCCGTTTCTGGGAACTCTTCGTCGTCTTCACAGTTGAGTTTTGTTTTCGTTTTAAGGTTTTTTCGTCATCTGTTTCCCTTTCTTTTTCCATGAAATTAATCCCTTTCCACATTAATCACGCAGGAAACCACATGCATGCCGTATCCAGCCAATCAAAGCCACTGCCACTCAGGCACCTCCTGCTGTTTCGAGTAAGAAGTTGTATAAGCGTTCATAGCATGCCTTCTATCTGTTCGATGTTATGTTGAAGCTATTTTTAAAAAATTTCCTTTAACAAATTCTACCTGCTTTGATTTTCCATAGAGACCAGTACCGGAGGGAAGACCAGGGTTGGAATCAATGGTATGCTTTCTTAAAATTCTTAAGTTTTTCACGCTATGTTTCCAGATTTACTTTTGTACAGATACTTCATCAGATAAGATAATGAAAATAATGGTCTTAATGTTTCTGCGTATGTTTATCCATGGGTAGAATTTAAAGAACATCAATCTTGCAGGTTTTGGACGAATTGGAAGGTTAGTTTTGAGAATAGCAACATTTAGAGATGATATTGAGGTTGTCGCAGTCAACGACCCTTTTATTGATTCCAAGTACATGGTAAGGGTTTAAGCATATGATGATTTTGTAAAAATTACATCAGTTTATTTAAAAGACAATTGTGTGAGATGATTTATGATTCCCCTTTTCAGGCTTACATGTTGAAGTATGATTCTACTCATGGCTTATTCAAAGGAACCATCAAGGTTATTGATGAGTCCACTTTAGAAATCAATGGGAAGCAAATCAAAGTAACCAGCCAAAGGTATATATATTTATTTATCCTTTTTGTTACTTGTCAAGTTATCTTTTTTTTTTAAAAAAAAAATCCTAATAATCAATTTGTGTTCAGAGATCCAGCCACAATTCCATGGGGTGATTTTGGAGCTGACTATGTTGTAGAATCTTCAGGGGTTTTCACAACACTTGATAAGGCTTCAGCACATAAGAAGGTAAACCATTAAATGTTCTTGGTTTTAAGGTACAAAAGACGTTTATACCCCTGGTCTGATTTTGTTGGTGTGAATGACTCAATATGCAGGGTGGTGCCAAGAAGGTGGTGATTTCAGCTCCATCAGCTGATGCCCCTATGTTTGTTGTAGGGGTAAATGAGACAACATACAAACCAAACATGGATATTGTATCCAATGCCAGCTGTACTACTAACTGCTTAGCCCCTTTAGCCAAGGTACTTGTCTTTTCCTGTATGTACGGATAAAATGGCTGAATGGTTAAGTGCTTAATTGAAAAAGAAATAGCTCTTAATGTTTTTTATATAATGCCAATCCCTTTATATATATAGGTGGTTCATGAGGAGTTTGGTATCATTGAAGGTTTGATGACAACTGTACATGCAACTACAGGTCTTTACATTTATTTAAACCTTCATTTTCATTCTCTTTATATATATAATTTTCATTTAAATTTATTAAATTGTTGTTATATTATTTGTTTTCAGCTACACAAAAAACCGTTGATGGACCTTCAATGAAGGATTGGCGTGGAGGACGTGGTGCTGCACAAAACATCATCCCCAGTTCCACTGGTGCTGCCAAGGTATATATATTATTTTTATATAAAAATGAAATGTAAATTTTTATATTCTTTTTTATAAATCTTTTTATATTTTATAAAAAAAAAAAAAGGCTGTGGGGAAGGTGTTGCCAGAGCTAAATGGAAAGCTTACCGGAATGGCTTTTAGGGTTCCAACAGCAAATGTTTCTGTTGTGGATTTAACTTGTCGACTTGAGAAGAAAGCTTCTTATGAAGATGTGAAAGCTGCTATAAAGTATGGTGTTTTTTTTTTTTTTTTTGAGACGTGAAATGTCTTTTTTACCCTTGTAAGTTGATTGCTGTTATTTGTAAATGATGTTTGTTGGTGATTGGAAAATTGAAGGTATGCCTCTGAGGGTCCCATGCAAGGAATTCTTGGGTACACTGATGAAGACGTTGTGTCCAATGATTTCGTTGGTGATTCCAGGTCTTTATTTTTTTTTTTAAATATTTAATTTTCATATTTGAAATTGTTAGCAATCTTTCTCATTTTTACTTTAAAAAAAATATATTTTGTAGGTCAAGTATTTTTGATGCGAAAGCTGGGATAGGGCTAAGCACGTCATTTGTGAAGTTGGTGTCATGGTATGACAATGAGTGGGGTTACAGGTACATAAAAAAAATACATCCCTGTCTCTTTCTCATTATTTGTTTGTTACACAACACATGAAACAAGACATGATAACATGTTGTACTTTGTGTTTGACTTAACAGTGATTGATTGATGTGAGTGAGTTATGTGTTGTGTTTGTGTGCAGCAACCGGGTGTTGGACCTGATAGAGCATATGGCGTTGGTGGCAGCAGTTTCCAAGTAGTTAAATTAAGGAAGGAGTTTTCTTGATTTTTTGTATTAGACAGTAGACACACCATCTCTTATAGAGTGTTCTTGTTTTGTTTTGGGCAGTTTCAGTTTAGTTAATTTGGGATGAAATGGATTCAAAGTTTTGAGGAAATAAAAGATATATAATAATAGTATATGGTTGGCTTTTGCCACCTGGTGTTATTATTTTGGCATTGTTTGTAATTTTTTGGTTTTGGCAAAACAAGATTTGGCTAGTAGATGTGGTCGTTTGGCTAGTTATTAGTATTAGGAAATAAAATATACTATAAATTACATGCTTGGATAATCCCTAATCCAAACAGCCGTAAGAACGAACCCTCTGGCCTCATGTGGCTTGCATTCATTTAGCCATAGATTTGGTATTTTGGTCCCTCTCCCTCATCTCCCACAATGGTATACTTACTTACAGGAAGGATCCTTGGGACTTGGGTAGTGCATCAAGTTTTGAAAATGCTTACCAAAAGGAAAACATCAAGATTTATACAACACTGTAATAACACATCCTATGTGCCCACATGATCGAGTGTTGGTGCCACGACTTGATTCTTGTTAGGGAAGACGGAGTCACAAGCGGTTTGGCCGGTGGGATGTGGCGAGAGAGAGAAAAGTTGTGGGTTGAGTGAGTTTGGAGAGAATGACTCTCTCCATCCTTATGACAACAAGTTAATGAACTGAACCATTTTTAGAGCATTACGGGTGTTTGGTTCACCTCCTGGCTAGATCTAGGCTCATTACGCATTAGTGAGGCACTAGATGTCTTTTTCAACATGCTAATTAAACCTAATCTGGTGATTTGGAGGAGTATTCTTGATGCTTTTTCCAAGAAAAGTGTGGGAACTAAAGTAGGTGGAGAAATTGCAAGAAAAATTATTGGGTGTGAAGAAAGGGGTTAGTTTAGTGATGTTTATATGATTTTATCAAGAGTTTATGCACTGACTTGTAAGTGGGATGAGGTTGGTTCGGTGTGGAAGATATTGGTTGATAAGGGTGTAGCCATAGAGTCTGGTTGCAACACTGTTGAAGTAGAGGCAGTGGCGGAGAGCCAGAGACAAGTCATTTAAGTGGGGTGTATGGACCCCACTTGAAAGTGTGTCCACTTTATTTTAGTATATACAAAAAAACTCCATTTTTTACTAAGACCCCTTTCCTGGGCACCCACTTATACATAAAATATCTCTCATTGACATTTTTTTTGCTAAAAAAACCCAAAAATACTTTACATTTTCATAATTTTCCACTTATACATTTTTTATGTGTAATGGACCCCGATTAATTTTCGTTTTGGATCCGTCACTGGGTCACTGGGTAGATGGTGTGAGTCATGAGTTCTTTGCTGGTGACATGTCATTTTTAGATTCTATATGTTTTAGTGATTAATATTTTTATTGCAGACAAGATCCTTAACATGTCACCTACAAATAACTCTTTATTCATTAGTTGTCATTGATCTCAACTTTGTTCAATAAAATTTTGATCCTAGTAGCTTCTTGCTACTTCTGCATCCATTTAACAACTAGATTTATTGGTGTCATGTCGATCCCTTAAATTGATGATGCTTTCATTTAAAACATGTTTTGACATAATGTTACTGTTTTCATATGGGCAACGTTTTAATTTGTGAATTCTTTTAGTTGCTAAAGAATGGAGCTTGATTGTTCTTGATGCTTAATGGTTATTAATTAGCGTGATGTTATACTTAATGCCTATAATGGATGATCTCGTTCACAAAATACCATTATGACCAATTAAGTGTATATCATAATAGTATTTTATGAACAAGTGTTTAAACAAAATTTAATAGTCATATATATACAAAAAATGTAAGTGAGTACATGTATATGCACACGAGATGTAAAGTTTATTAAAGAAAACAATGTCAGTTGATTCATTGCTTTGGAGGAACATGTATATGTAAGAAAATAAATTGATGTTATTTATGTAAAGTGTATGTTCAAAATATTATTGCAAGCAATTTTAGCCAAAATATACAAGTATGTCTTTTCTTTTTTATCATTTTACATATATAATCAAGGTTGTAAAAATCGTTCGGCGGTCGACCAGCGATAAGCGATTAATCGAACTAGGCGGGGATAAATCGGGGATCCTTAGTTGTTAATAAAATTATTTAAAAAATTAATATTCCCTAAAAAACTAAGTATTTGAAAATTTTAAATTTTGAAAACTTTAGTTTAATATTTTAAAATTTGAAAGCTTAAAATTTTGAAAATTTAATATTTTTGGTGTAATATTTGAAAATTAAATTTTTTTGAATTTTTAAAAAATTCCCGCATATGACCGCCGAGACCGCCAAACCCGACTTTGACCAATTTCCGCCAAACACCCTAATCGTAATCGGTTTAAGGCCGCCAATCGATTAATCGGCCGCCAAGGCCGATTTCTGCAACACTGTATATAATTAGTTTTAGGCGAACATTCTAAAAAATGTTTATCAACTTAAAGTTTTTTTGGCAGCACATAAGTTTCCAAACATTTTTATTAAAATTCTGTTTTTCTACCTAATAAACTATGTTTTTTGTTCTGAAACTGAAATCTAAACACCCCCATAATGTTCTAGTTGTGGCTTAATCTAGTATTTTATTCTCATTATATCAAAATACTCACGACCTTGTTGAGTCAACCTACAATGGCTACACACAGTCGAGATTCCCAAAAAAAAAAAAGTGATTTCATCAGGTGAAATATTGTCGGATTCCATCTTTGAGAAACTTGAAATCACATTCATAGCATTATAAATAGAAACATCATCATCTCTCACACATGGGAGAAAAGACTGAAATGCCCTCATGTTCATAGTATAAGAGTATTGTTAACGGTTGTGGGGAGAGGATAAACAGTGAAACATATAAAGTGCAAGAAAGAGAAAATAAGAAACTGCAAGAAACAATCCAAAATCCAAATAAATTAAGGTGATTTATATGCTGTTAACATATAATTTAATATAACACAAGGTTCAATCATGAATGTCAATAAACCACCCTATTTTCTTTCTGTTTTATACATACGCCAATATGTTTTCCTTTCTTAATTCATAACATCATAAATCATAAATAAATGACAAAAACATGAGACTTACTTCACAATCACAGGACTCGACCCTTTTCAATTATCCCATTCTCTATCAAATACTCTACAAATTCATCAATTAGATATGGCCAAGCACCTTCAGCATCATAATTCGCCAGTGTGGGGTCCACACTCTGCACAAAAAACAAATTAATACATAAAATTGATTCTTTTTTTTTTTAATCACTACATAAAATAAGTTAAATGGCTATAGAATATAGATAGATCTTACTCTTGCAAATTCCAGTAGTTGAGACCATGTGTCACGAGAAATAGCTTTATTATGGCGTGCCTGAAAAGTAAAAAAACAAAAATGCATTTATTTTTATAATAATTTAATATTTTAATTTATATCAAGAGATAAATAATCTTTTTTTTTATTACCTGTAAAAATTGGCACCAATGATCAACCAATGGCCACTCCTTTTCTTCAAACAACAATTGCCACATTCCTATTGCTGTATCCAATGCCAGAGACTTTTGACCCTGAAATAATCAAATAAAAATAGTCAACTCAACTATACAATACATTTATATGTGCATACACATACAATAATTAAATACACATACATATAATATATCTATGTAAATGTGTGTGTTTATGGATATTCATATACCTTCTCCTTTGCCCATCCGAATGCAAAAATATAAATCTCCTTGAATTTGTCTGATTTAACAATACATAAAATATTAGATCAAGAAAATAAGCATAATATGCAACATTTCCAGTAATCTTAGGGGCTGTTTTTTTTCTTCTCATTAAGTGTTGTATAGGTAGTGATGTACTGATGTCTGTCTGAAAAGAGTGTTTTTATACATGAGTTATGTTTCTGTTATAGACTGAATAAACCGTTTGCATGAGAACAAATGACCATTTTACCCTTTCATTCCAAAAAAAAAAAACAAATTTCATGAATTTTATGATACATACGATCATCTTTGAGCTCGGAACGCATAAATGGTATCCGTTCACGGAACTTCTCAAGTGAATCTATCCTGTAATGAGAATGTGTATAAATTAATATTCATTTAAATTAATAATATATGAATTTCAATGTAGAAAAAGACAGTGTAAATCAAAGTGTATAAGTACCCAAGGGATTGCAATCCACCAACAAATTCTTGCTTTGTGAATTCACACATGGTAGCAGCCTTCATGTGCCACGAAACAACCAACTGAAGTAGCATCACAAAAATGACTTTGTTTAATAATATTTTAATAAACTTTTCTTTAAAGGTCTTTCTTTACAAAATGAAAAAATATCTTTATATATATGCATAGTGATGATGCATTAATGCGCCTTTATTTATTTATCGGGTCCACACTTATAGTAAGTTGGTGCTTGTAAATTAATAAACTTATGCTTTAAATATAAATTTTCACATACCATAACAATATCTTGAGGATCCACCTGTCAGAAAGATAACAAGCTATCAGTTTAATATTGTAAAGAATCCATCATCAATTAAACAATTTCAACCTATTTAAGCAAACATGAGTTACCTGAAGATCATTGCAGAGGGTGCTAATACCATCAGCCATAATCATATCAGCATAAGGATCTATAAAGCAACATAAGAGAACAAATTTTAAAAAAAAAATAATGAAGTATATTATAAAGAAAAGAAAAACGACAATTAAAACGGTTAACAGTTAACTTGCCTTTGTATCTATTGTACATTTCCTCTAAGTGTTTTGTATCTGTGAACGATTTGGGGTGAGGCTGACTGTAGAATACATCAAATGCTCCATCAAGATGCCAATCACTGGCCTTCAAGGATTGAAGAGCAACTTTTTCACTGCATTTAGAAACATGGAAAGGAAACAAGCAATATATAATAATCAATATAAAAAGTTTCCATATAACATGTTAAAAAATGCTGACTTTGTAGAACTGATGACAATATGAATATAAAAAGTTAACCAATTAACACAAGTGTGTCACCTTGCCCCAGTAATTGTCATGAACTGTTGAACCTTGTCGCGATGTCCTCTGCCCAATTTGTTCTTTTGGTAATAATGAAAACACAGTTAACAACAAGATCGATAAACAAGGTAACTTTTGATATAAATATATAGTTGAACATGCAAAATTGCAAATAACTAGTTTGGATGTCCACCTATAGAAAAGGGGCGTTTGTTGTGTGGAACTAAGTATATGTATTAAGAGCTAGGTATTGGATTATGAAAGATCAAAACTGTAAAAGGATGGAGACTCGGACTGATTTTAAGTGCTTTTACACATTGATTATGATGCTACTAGAGATTAGGAATATATGTAAGATGATTTCAAGTGAATAAGATATCAATCGCTTTAACTTTAGAATCAGTAGCAAAGGATTGATGACCACATTAATGTCCAGTAAAAGGGGTATTAATAAAGATTTAAAACCAATAATAAGATATTCAATACCAATGGTATATTAGATTCAAAATCACTCTGATTACGGGAAGGAATACGAAGAACTAACTGAGCTAAACCCATATCCAGAAACTTCAATTACGATCAAAGTGTCGGTGATCTACGACCCCGAGGAACTAATTTACGACATCGAAATAATCAGAAGAATTTTTTATTGAGAAATGAAGAGAAAAGAGGCAACCAACAACAGAAGTGCAGCGTTGTAAGCTATGCATGAAAGATGATGTTTTTGAACAATGACTAACCATCTTGAGATTGCTGGCGAAACCCTAACCCAATAGCTATCCCGATGATCTGTAGAAGTAATGACACCAAAATTAGGGTTTCGTATGCTAGGGTTTATGACTCTCTCTCCGCCACGAAACGCAATAATCTATCTCGCTGATAGAAGCCCCACTGTGTGAGTCTATCTTCCCCGATTCTCAATTATGAGTGTTTTCTCGTCTACCAGAAGCATCCACGGCTTTAATTCATCCCAAGCACGCACAGTAGCAACATCGTAGGTGTGTTTCGTTTTTTACTTTTTTTTTTTTTTTTTATTTACATAAATAGATAACTTTAGGGTTAATGATGCTCGAGGAGTGTAGGGTTATTAATTTAAGTTAATTACAAAACATATTAGGATTAATAGGGGGGTTTGCTAGTCATAATTTTTATAAGAAAAATTATATATATATATATATATATATATATATATATATATATATATATATTTTATTTTTTCATACATATTCTCTTACCACTCTTTTAGATGAATATAATATAAGAATTATTTCTTTAATTTCTCTCTTATACCCAAATATTACTGAACAAGATTATTTTTGTAATTTCGTTATTTAACAAAAACTAATTTTGATCGTTATATAATTTCTGTAATTTTATCGAACACCGGAAACATTAAATAAAACATATTTTTATGTATAGATAATTTATGTAATTTTTTCAAACATAAATATCATTAGATAATGGAGTATCGACGGAATAACTTTTAAACTTTTCAAAAAAAAATATGGTTTTATACTAAATCACTTTTTGGTGTGTTTTTTCTTTATTTTTGTCTCATCAACTGCTATCATAACTTTTCAGGTTATCATAAAATAAAATTCAACAAATCTTTTATTTTTTATCCTAACTATGTTTTTTTAATGTTATATTTATTAATGCAGAAAAAACGTATGTATACATGAAATAATATTTAATTAAACATTGTATTTAGAAGCATAAATATATTTTTTAGAAGTATATATGTGAATTTTGTATTTAGAAGAATTTACACATTTTTTTAATGTTTTCTTGAAGTATACAAATATTTTTAGAAATATTAATATGTTTTTAGAAGTATAAATACATATTTTTTTATGTTTTTAGAAATATAGATATATATTTTTCGAATGATAAATATGTAATTTTTTTAAAAATATAAATACATATTTTTATGTTTTTAGAAGTATAGATATTTTTTTCATAATCATAAATGACTGTTTGTATATTTTTTTAGAAGTGTAATTAGATTTTTAGAAGTATAAATCCGTGTTTTTATGTTTTTAGAGTATACATACATATTTGTTCTATTTTTAAGAAGTATAATTTTTTTATACAAACATGCTTTTGATTGATATACCTCTAAATACATAAAATACATATTTATACTTCTAAAAACATATTAATATTTTTAAAAATATATATATTTATACTTATTAACAAAACATAAAAATATATATATTTATATTTCTAATAATGTAACGCCCGGGTTTCGGGGCTAAGCATTAATAGATGACGTAATAGTCTAGGTCAACTATTGTAACTCTTTTTGAAGTAATAAAAATGAATTATTTGAGTATTATGTGAATTAAGTGAATTTATGTGCTTTATACTTAATTATAAATGTATAATTAATAAAGAATAAAAATAAGTGTCAAAAATTAAAGTGTGAGATAAACCCGATATCTTTACATAAAGTGGTGGTGGTCGAAACAAGGATTCCGGGGATATAAAGAACGCCCAAATCTGACTTCGTATGAGGAAGTTATGATTTTTCTAAGATTTGACATAGCAGTGCACGGCCTGAAACTCGAATTTTAGTTCGAGTGGTTTTTGGCTTACGCGACCTAAATGAGAGTTGAAGATCTCATTAATAGGAACTCAACGACAAAAAGACAGACGAAAACGGAGTCCGTATGTAAAAGTTATGAATTTTACGCAGACATTTAACAGTGTAATCACCTCCTACTGTTAAATTTAAGATCAGTCGAGAATTAGCCGACGGAGTAAAAAGGAAAGTTGTAGATTTTATTTCTACCAACGCGTGGATATAAATAACGTCAAAAACGGAGCTTGTATGCGAAAGTTATGGACGAAGCTTAGTCTATACTTTTCGAGCGCGACGAATTCGATACAGTTTTGTAAATCCGAGATAGAATGAGAATTAGCCAACGGGGTCTAAATGAAAGTTGTAGTACTCGTAAATAACAACGCGTGGATATAAATAACGTCGGAAACGGATCTCGTATGCGAAAGATATGGACGAAGCTTAGTCGCTACTCTTCGTGCGCGATAAATACGATACAGTTTTTGTAAATCTGAGATAGAAGGAGAATTAGCCGACGGGGTCTAAATGAAAGTTGTAGTACTCGTAAATACCAACGCGTGGATATAAAGAACGTAGAAAACGGAGCTCATACGCGGAAGATACGGACGAAACTTAGGGGCTACTTTACTATAAAATCCCTATAAATAAAGGGTGAACTCTTCATATTTTCTTCACACCATAAGCCTTTCTTTCTCTCTCTAACTTCTCTCTAGCCTCCCTAAACCCCTCCCAAGTATAGGGAACCTCCCTAGCACGAGAAGGAAGCCCTGGAGCGCCCGACGGCTCCGAGAAGAAAAGCTTTCGGCTCGGAAACGCTGCTCCAGCGAAGCCCGGTTTTTAATACAAACCCGCTGTTTTGTCGAGGAAAAATTGTTTTAAGAGTAACGAAGCGTTGTCCGAGTGCAGAGTCACCACCTTTTCAGGTGACTGCATAGTCACTTTCATCTTACACATAGATATGAAGTATTTAATATAAATTACGTGCTATGTGTGCATATTGTCTGAATACTTGTTGTCTATGCTGATGAAAGATTTTTATACATGTTTTAAATGATTTAAACTGTATATGTATTTTATATCTACAAAATGTTGGGGTAAAACATGGGTAGATGTAATAGACGATGTGTGATAAAATGATGAGAGACCTCGATGTTGTTGTTGTTGATTCTGTCATCTAGCGGAGTATGGATGACAACCACGGACTCTTCTAGACAGTCCAGTGGAACGCTAGCAGGCTCGCAACTTGTAGGTGTTTGTGAACAATGTGTTCACCGGTGTACTCCATCCCCCTCGTGGTTGCCTTTAGGACATTTATTGCTGAGGAACAAGGAACAACAAAGATATACAATCAACGAGATTTGATTCAAAGATATACAATCAACGAGACATAAAAATTTGATTCAAAGATATACAATCAACGAGACTTTCCATATCAATCGATGATTTGATTCAAAGATATACAATCAACGAGACATAACAATTTCAATACTTGATATACATCAATAACACTTCTGTAACAACCCAAAAATACGACCCAAAAATTTTTGTTTTAATATTACTAAAAATCACATCATCCAATGTCATATATAATAAGAACCATGGAATGAGTACTCAAAAAGTCATAGTAACTGTATCAATCATAACAAGATATCTGAATAAAACCCCCAGGATAAAACTGAAGCTGTGGTGGGTGCGATGCCATCAACCCGAGCTCTTCCCTTTGCTAGCGGAAGTACCTGAAAACCAAAACTGAAACTGTAAGCACGAAGCTTAGTGAGCTCCCCCAAACTACCACATACCACACAACATCATATAAACACATATTAGGCCTTGCCCACTGCATCAGACCGAAGTCCGGAAACTGCATCGGACAGGAGTCCGGAACTAACTAGGGCCTTGCCCTCTGCATCAGACCGAAGTCCGGAAACTGCATCGGACCGAAGTCCGGAACTAACTAGGGCCTTGCCCTCTGCATCGGATCGAAGTCCGGAACTAACCAGGGCCTTGCCCTCTGCATCGGACCGAAGTCCGGAGTCTGACTGAACATAGCATAGCATAATCATAACTACTAACATAAACACATATACTGCATACTGCATCAGACCCAAGCCCGGAACACATAACACAAAGACAGGCTTGAATCACAAAGACATCAAGCATACTGAACTACTGCCTCGGACCGAAGTCCGGAACTACTGCTAACTAGACGGGTCGGCATTGTGGCCGTAGACCCGTTCCTACTAGAAGGAAACTCACCTCGTAACGCTGGCTGCCGAGATGCTAAATCTGAAACTGCCTGACTGCTGCTCCGGAACTCCCCGGCTACAAATCTCATAAACACTAAATCAAATACTGATAACTAATCTCAGGGTAAAATGACTATTTACCCCTGGTCAAGTCAACTTCATGGTCAAAGTCAACTTCCAGTTGACCGGACGCGCCGAGTTGGGCCGTCAACTCGCCGAGTCCCTATCATCCATTCTAGTCCTCTACCGCTTCTACTCGTCGAGTTTGGCAAAGACTCGACGAGTTCTTCTTCGATGCTATCATCAAGTCTAACTTCATCCGACTCGTCGAGTTGTATGAACAACTCGTCGAGTTCTCCTTAAACATATGAACACGTCCAGTCTGCGACTCGCCGAGTCGTATGAACATCTCGTCGAGTCTGAAGAACAACTCGTCGAGTTGAAGAACAACTCGTCGAGTCCCAAGCATGCTATTACTATACAGTCGACTCTAATCGACTTCAGTGCTTCCAGATCATAAACCTGAGCTTCTAGGACTGGTTTTACACGTAAAGTTTCCAACTTTACGTGCATGCACAAGAGTATGAGGCTAAAATGCCCAAAATCAACAAATACTAAGCACTTAGGGTTTGGAACAAGGCCAAGATTGCATAAAGGTGGCTATAATAAGCTCCTGGAGTTCAATAACGTCCAAATCTAAGGTTTCCAACCAAAGGAGAGTCCATATCTCAAGTTTTAAATCATAAAAGGCTCCAAAGAAGACATAACAAGCATAAAAGAGGGATTAATGGAGGAATACACAAGGTAATAACTTCATTACCTGAATGAGAAACAGATGGAAGCTAACTCCTGGATCTCCTTTCTCTTCTATGGACCTTCTTTCCTTCCTTCTCTTCCAAAGCTTCCAAACTAGCACAAACACACGCAAACTCAACAATGGGGGCTAGGGTTTACAGGGGAAATGATCTAAAGGTTATGGAGGCTGGGGTGGGAGGCTATAATGACGTTTAAATAGGGTACAAACCCTAGAAATTAGGGCTTCATTCAGACAAGCAGACTCGCCGAGTCCCAACATATGGACTCGCCGAGTAGCCAACTTAAATCGCGAGCTCATCCCGCTTCTACTCGACGAGTCGGGCTACAGACTCGTCAAGTACCCCTTAAGAAATGGAGATACTTTA